CAGCATAGGAGGGTTAATGACTACCCCCAACTGTTTTTACATGAAAATTATACCTTCTAGTTCCAAAAGAACAGCTTGAAAAGATAGTTCATGATTGGAAGTCATAGTGACACCATAATAAAAAGCCTATCCACAAAGAAACCATACACTTTGGAGATTTTAGATTCCAATTGTGATGTTACTACTTACGTTGAGAGACCTTCTACATAGGGTCCAAGTACTGGATGTTCCCGGACTTTCAGCTGAAAATGAAATGCTAGACATTGTCACTGCTATATACGTTATTTCAAGGGTGGTACCAATTTTTGTCTTGCTGAAATTAGACAAGGTGGAAAACAGTGATAGAGGAAATGTGCAGCATTATGGTGATCATAAAGTCAAGGGATGTGTAATGCTGGTTCCATGATCTTGTCCGCAAACCTCTGTCAAACTTTCAGGAATTTCGGAGACTTGAAATTTGTCTGTGAAGTAACTTCCAAAAGATCGGGATTGGAGCTGGGAGATAATTTTTTTCAATGCCCCAACATGTGACTTACTGTTGCCCGCTTCTTGCCGGCGTCTTTGTCGGTGTCTGTCGAGGCTGCAAGCAAGTCGTGGATCTTCTCATTGTAGATTTCAAAGAAGCTGATCTCAATAGTGTACTTGGCCTGTGGGTTGCATATGTTGCCAGTGTTAAATAATAATGTTTAAACTTACACCTTGCACACAAACCAAATTATGAACAGTATAAATAGTTCTAATTCTGTAGACAAATCCAGCAAAGTTTCACTGAAAATTCCAACAGCCCCCTCACAATGACGGAAAGCACCGCATTACGAACGACGCAGAACAGTGGCTACATAACTTTATCACAGTGCTGTCCACTATCGGTACAGGCCACTGCAAATGACCACCGATAGCATAACCATGGTCCCCAGATTTGCCTGCAAACCAGTCCTATGATCAGAATTGGCGGCTACTGCGGCAGAACCAGGCTCGCCTGGAGTCGCTTCCACACATTAGCTGCCCCGTTAACCAACAAGGTGTTGTGTCTTGCCAAAATACATGCATGCCTTCAGGTTACAAAGCCATGCACCACATACGAGGGTGTAATGTCACCACCATGGTGGAATCTACTGGTGGCAGAACAGTGTGATCTTGGGCAAGTGACTTTACTCCAATGTGCCTCTCTCCACCCAGGGGTAAATGGGTACCTATGAGGGCAGACATAGTTATGATTAGCCATTTCTTGCGCCGAAATGGCAGCATCGGGCTAGTATACTCCCCAGGGAGCTGCGATGGTTTCGCAGAATGTTCAGATGTTGAGCCCTATGGGCAGGGATAATAATAACGGCGCCTTGGGCACCTTCACGGTGGATATATTTTGAGCTTTATAAATAGCCATGATTATTATCTATTAGGATCCGTCTATATCAGAAGTGACTGGGTCTGGAGATTTCCTTTTTGTTAAAGACTGAACAGAAAACTGCCCACTAACCCTTTGTTCTTGGCCATTTTCGTCGATTCTACGGAAGAGCTCTCTGCAGAATCTTGGGATGATGCCTGTTTCATTATTATAACCCATTATTCTGGTAAAAAATACACAAGAGAAAATCACATTTTAACTGAAAAAAATCCATTTCAATCCAAAAGTAGGCATACATATGTGAGTAACATATGAGTAAACACAAAACTTACGTGTAGGATTTTCCGGAACCAGTTTGCCCATAAGCAAACAGACATGTATTGTAGCCCTCAAATGCATTGTCTAGAAGTGGTCTCCCAAGTCTCTCATAGACCATTTCCTGACCAGAATATTGACCTTTGACCCTGTCAAATGACCAGAAGCAGAGGTCATAGCAGAAGCTGCTGGTCTGGCCAGGTCTGGTGGTGACAGTGGTTTCGTTTCCATCCATGGACACCACACATCTAACGTCCCTCTGCTTTTTCTCTCTGCCAAAAGGAAAAATTTGTCAGAGTTAACAAATGTCACGACAATCTGACCAAATTAAAATGAACTGTGAAATGCTAGGCAGTCATTAACCATTTAACTAGTCCACACAATGCTTTAACAATGCAGAGGAATAAACATTTCAAGACCATGCACTTACTTTTCACTGAATGGCCTGACTCTCACAGCAACAGTGACACTGAAGCCATCACCTTCATGCGACCCGATCAGGGGATTGTCCCCCATTCCGGACCATCTTGCCCCACTCTTGACCTTGGGTGTCTCAAACTCCACACGACTGAAGCACTCCGGAGTTCCCAGCGGGGTCCTGGCCTCTGACTTGAACCGCTGTGTCGGGGTGCGGAAGAGATCCCGCTTGGGGGTGTTGAGGCCGTTCCCATGGGGTGTCAGGGGTACGGCAGGGTGGTGGTTTTCTTTGCCTTTGGTCCTGTGCTGGTGTTTGTCTCCTGCCGACGAGAAGCCGCGATCCGTTGATAACTGTTGTAGGTGTGATGATGGACGATTGGCCTTCACAGACATGTCTGAGCAGAACTGGTTCTGTTGGTGTTGCAGATAGCAGATAGTGAATGAAGAAATAACAACAAACCGAAGTGGACCAAAAAAACTATTATAAACCAGTCAACCTGTTTTGGGGGTTATAAAGTTGGCACTGCATTGCACTTTATTAAATAACATGCTAAACTGCACAATCGAGCCTAGCTTGACATGCTTGAGTAACTCTAGCCCTAACATGCCAGTGACTAAACGCTCATGACGTCAGGAAAGTTTTGTTTCAAACTTTCACAAAATCATGAGCAATTAGGGGTGGCATGGCGCTATGATGGCTGGAGTTACTCAAGTTACAACCATGTGAGTGTGTCGTGGTAGCCCAACCACGGCATGCTAAGCCAAAATGCACAACAAACAACTGATGTGAAGTTAGTTCCTCATCCAACATTCAATATTGAACAAGTAACCGTTTGACATTCACAGTGCACACCCTTAAAATGATGGAGTGCAAAAGGGACCAAAAAAAAAAAAAACTGCGCCACTGTGCACATCCATTCACATGCACCTTATTTACATTGTACATGCCATTTAACAATGATGTATACACACAACTCTCTCCCACATAGGGCATAGGGCTTCTCAGGGTCAACCAAGCCTTGAAATGTAGAAGCTGGGTTTTTTACGTCAATATAATTATTAAAGGAAAAATGTTTATTTTATACACTTGTTTTCATTCAAACTATTTCACTCAATCAAAATAATATACATCAAGCCCACGCCTTGTTCCCTGCCTCCATTTCAACCAGGTCAACAGAGTTTTCCATGGTCAAAATGGGTCTGATTAAAGTCTTGTCGGTGTGGTTCTTCGCTTGCAAATGAGAGAGGAGAGTGAATGCATCACATCACACTTTCCTCAATTAAAAAAAAACCCCAAAACCCTATGCACTGCCTGGAGATTATACTTTAATCTGATCTCATTGTTCTCCTTAATCAGCAACGACTCCTAGCAACCCAGGGCATGGGGTATTTCCCGGTCAAACAAGCCCTGAAGTGTAGAAGACAGGTTTCTGTACACTTTAGCGACCCGGCCGCCTCCATTTCAACCAGGGCAACGCAGTTTTCCATTCAAAATGACTTTGACTAAAGTCGTGTCGGTGGAGTTCTTTACTTGCAAACCAGAATAGGAAAGTGAATGCATCAAACCGCACTTTTCTCCAATCGAAATCAAATACCCGAACCCCATGCCCCACCTGGAGATTACACTGAATCTGATGTCATTGTTTTCAATCAGGGACGACTCCCTGCAACCCGGGGCATGGGGTTTCTCGGGGTCAACCAAGCCCTGAAATGTAGATGGCACAGGTTTTTTTTTTGTCCCTTTTACACTCCATCATTTCTAGGGATCTGCATCCTGAGTGATTGCTGAATGTCAAACCCATGGTCAAACGGTTAGTTGTTCAGCGTCGAATATCAGTTAGGCCTACTTGTTTAACACTGATGAATGTCGAACGTCAAACAAGGAATAAGTAATTAACTTCACACCGGCCAACTACGGTGGAACGAAAACACCTACAATGGCCCAACAAATATGAAAGATTAGAGTACATCTTGAAATAGAATTCTTCAGTTGGGTAAAAACTGCCTACCCCCGTGATATTTGTTACGCCCCAACGATAGCATCAGTCCCCACTGTAGTTGGGCCCGTCCTAACTAGCGTGCTATGGGGCAGCACGGACATCCAGGATTCTCGCAAAATGACAGGTACTGCGCTGGTGAAAACAGCGAACTTGGCGACGTATGCACACACCAGCCAGTCCGAGGATCGGGTTATACAATCTTTCCTTTGATCTGTACGTACGCGCGCGCTTGTTGCAGTTGTTTTCACTGGCCGCGGTGTGGTTACTACCCGTATTTTTGTGAAACTCCCAGATATCCGCGCTGCCCCATAGTTGGGCTGGCCAACAACAGGACAGAGGTCCAGTGTGCATGTGCCTAACATGTTCAAAAATCATACAGTTTACAATGTCATGTCATAGATGAAGTGCCATATTTTAGATGACTGTGTCAAGGGCGAGATTCGTAAACCTGGATAAGGTTGAGAAATTTTCTATAGAAATTGGTAAACAATAGTTGGGCCAGCCCAACTGCAGCTCTACAGTTGGGACTGTATAGTTGGGACAGACGCTACAGTTGGGGCGTAACATATTCAACAAGTTCTGTACAAAACTTAGAACTACAACTGTACCACTACAAGTGCCAAGAAAGTCTAGCAAAGTAGCATGTCTACGATCATGATGGCATATATCTACTTTCTGTATTTTAATCTGCATATAATGTAGAATATGTACACAGTTGACGAGGTCAAGGACAACTGGTTGCCCATGGTCAGACGGTTAACACAAGCGCAGCATGCAGACAACTCTGACAAGTACAAGTGTCAACTGTTGAACTGAGCTTAAGTTAACATTAGTGGTTACTCGGGTTAGCATGGTTAGGTAGGCCTAGGAGTAGGATGTAGGAAGGCAAAGTAAGCATGGTTGGTAAGATAAGACTAAGCATGGCACATGCATCAGGGGACTAAGTACATGAAGTAAGACCTGAAGATTAAGAGACTTACACAATGCAGATCGATGATGTGGGCCTAGGTCGGCATTTCCTTTTCAACTCCCCTTTCGTTGAATTCTACAACTAGCAATCGGCACAGAATTATGGATACTATTTTACCTCTGCTCAAACTTTCTTCAGAAATTATACCCAAGATCACATCACTACTGTGAAGTTTACAACTGAATTTACTTAATAGTCAACTAGGCCTACAACTCACAAGTTGTACAACTCGTTCATGATCGTTGGTAAAATTTACATGCTCCGCTCTAACGTGAATTCTTGAACGTGATTGGTCAATGGTCAATGGCCAATTTTTAGAGCGCCCTCTTGTGTACCTTCTGACACTTCCAAGATGGCAGCGCCCATGGCATTTTCTCGAGCAAAGAAAACGCACTTGGAAAATCAAGATCTGAGCAAGAAAGGAAGCTTGGATGAAGAAATCGTCGGTTTGATTAATTACATAAATGACACAGAATACCTCTGCACGACGAGTTCCTGTTCCGGTCGCGTTATAATCGTTTGTGAGGTAAAGGTTTAACTTGTGATGCAGTCGTCATTGCCAAAAATGGTCGTAGCAGCTAGTCATAGCACTGTTGGCATGATTGGGGCGGCAGACGAGAAGGGCGGGTAGGCGAGGGAAGCCTAGAATAATTTGCTGACCAGTTTTGATCATACTGTGCTTGGAAGTCAAGTTGTAACTTTCAATTTACAAACAAGTGCATTTTAACCTAATTTTGGATGTCCCTTGTCTGCTTGTGTAAATATTTTATTTTGTTTTACTTCATGTGCTTTCTCCAGGATGATGGCGAGGTTATCAAAAAGAAAGGTTGCCATTGGCTGTATGTTTCACATAAGATGACAGATCTTGATTCTGTTGTAAGTCCTATTTCTCTCAATTTTTAAATATTTTTCTCAGTATACAGGAAATATTTCAAGTATATTTCTTTGCACACAGGACAAAAAACTATAAATCTGCCATTTAAAGTCCTGGAAAACTTGTGATTGAAAATTTTTGAAATTTGAAGCTCGTAAATTTTTTATAAATGTTTTTAATTGTAAATTTTTTTGATTGTTGTTTGTATGTTTATTAAAACCTTTTTTGCCTACTTTGACAGGAAAATTCACTGAAAGATCTCAAAGGCAGGGCTGTCTTTAAGTTTGAGCCTTTCATACTCCATGTCCAATGTCGCACACTAGAAGATGCTAAACTTGTGGTAAGTATCAAAGAAGTTCAGAACAAGTGTATTATATCTCGAAATGAGGAAATCTAGACCACGCTGAATTTGCTCAGAAAGGTTCCAAGTTCCCACTTTGTCCACCTTGATTTACACAGCATGGATCTTTTTCAGTACGATACCCCTAACAATCCCACATCCTCCAATTTAAGTACGATTTTACATACATCCTGGGGGTTAGGGTTAAAACAAAATGGTCGAAACAACTGAATGATGGAGAATACTGCTAATTACTGTGCTTTTCTCTCAACAGCACATGGTGGCAGTGGAGTCTGGATTCAGGAACTCTGGTATCACGATCGGTAGAACTGGCAAGGTCATGGTGGTATGCTACATACTGGTTTGTGATCTTTCACCATCTGCCATAGTCTGGGGATCATACCCTTATACCTGTGGGGTACTTTTGCCGCATACTCCGTGATTCTCAGGGTCTCATTTTTCCCTTATCTTTATTGCAGGCAGTGAGAAGCACCCATGGCTTGGAGGTACCTCTGTCCGACGGGGTTCAGTTACTGGTCTCTTCCCAGTATCTCGCCTTCTTGGTAGAACAGGCTAATTCCAAACTTTGGGAGAATTCCAAACGGATTGAAAGGTTCATTGGTTTTTATGTCAGAGATTTACCCATTTACATGGCCATTATTTATTAAAACATGCCTTTGCATTTTCTGTTGATCATATTTATTGTTCAGTTTTTACAGGTGGCCGTTTATGTTACTGATTTCTGGATTAAAATGCCTCACATCAGCCAACATAACTGTGATACAGATATATTTAATGTTAGCTTTTCAATTCAAATGCAGATGAAGTGTTTTTTATACAGTCTATTTACACTTTTGCTGTTTGTAGGTTTTACACCAGTTTGGTGAAGCGACTGGAAAACTACAAACCTGGCTCTTTGCCTGGTGCACATGACAATTTATGCAAGAAGTGCTGCAAAGCATATGCAAAGAGGGAGGTGCATAAGTCGGCACAGGACACCAGTGCAATGGATACCAGCTCAGTTGAACCAATGAAATTTGAGCACAGACATTTCAAGAACAGCAGAAGGAGGGACTTGATGAGTGAGCTTCAACTAGGTGTACAGATGCAGAGTAGGGAACCAGTTTCATCAGTGTTAAGAACTGGGCCCGGAGTCTGGCAAATAGATCATGCGGACACCAGTGAAAGGACCACTGCAGTTCATGAATGCGAGAAACTGGTAACACCTGAAATGGGCACTGGTGATGATGTTATATTCCAACCTGATTTGTTCACGTGACATGCACAGCCTCTGCGCAGCAGTATTCGGCCGTCAAATTAAAACTGAACCCCAGATCAAAACGTAATCCCATAGAGATGGAGGAATTCTCCTTGAGAAGAAAAAGCAAACTGTCCATGGAAACATTTCAAAGCCACCTAGGCACTGACCAGGAGCAGTCAAAGGGCTAGACAGCTACCAATCTGATTTGATCTCTACTTTGCCAAGGGGAAACTTTTACATTTAACTGCGAGCGACTCAAGTGACAAAAGTAACATCACTGACCTGTTGTTGCAAATACAAAGATTTCAGTTCGTAATGTTCTAATTAATTACCCAAGTACACAAATTCGTAATACACAGGAATTTCAATGAGTTATCCAAATTGAAGAGAAATTGACAGAAGGGAAACAAAAGCACACTTGTTAAGTATTTAAAAAGTTTTAACATAACTTTATAAAAATGTGACCTTACAAAATTGGGAGAACAAAGTCTGACATGAAAAGGTATTTCCAAGATCTCTCATCTAAGAAAATATAATTTATAAGTTATTCTTTGAACTGTGAAACATGGACAAGCACAAAGGTAACAACCTGTAACTAAAATATAAACTTTCTTTTTTCTAAGTCAACTGCATTCCTGTTCAAAAACCTAAATACTTAAGTACCAAGGCATCCAACGTGTACATGCAGGCACGAATGATGGAAAAGTATTGCTAGAAAATTGAGTCATTTTTATAATACTTTGTAGTGAACTTTTTAAAATTGCATTTATGATATGGTTTCACTGTGTGTGAGGGGTCACTTTTCAGGTATTTGATGTTTAGAACCGGTAACCGCTGAGCCAGCACACAACCTTGTGAAGATGAAATTTTAATTCATGTAAACATGGAAAAAATAAATATATTTGAGTTAATAAATATTTCATAATATCTAATAGGTTCTTTTGCATGAGTGACAGATGGTTTGAATGATTACGCTCAAAGCTTGAAGTTCAATGATGAGAATTTTATTTATAAAATAATCTTGTTATTATTGTTTATCAGGTATGAACTTCTGATTCCAAATTTGAATTCTTTAATGCTTCTGATGAAACCCTCTTTAACTCCATATCTGTATCCTGTTTTCCAAAACTTGAGTCAGCCATCGAATCTGGTCTATCCTCCGCTGTATGCACTAAAGCACCATCCCCTGTGGGGGAGGTTGATGAACTCTGCCCCTGTGACGAGGGCAAATCTGTTCCAGCAGTCGCATTGGTCAGCACAGTTGATGACCTCTGAGTTTGGGCAGAACCAGTGAGTGAGTCCTTAGTCTCCTTTCCAGGAGTTGGGCTTGTCTGTTGTGCATTAGAATCCTTGATTAACTCGGGTGATGTGATTTCAAATATTTTCTCTGTTGATGGGCTTTCACCTGAGGATGAGACTGATGATGTCCTCTTAGGAGCCTCGGTTGTGCTCCCTGTGGACGATGATGACAGGTGACGCTGTGACTCTGCCTTCTTGGCTGCCTCGACTGCCTCCAGCTCGGCCTCAAATGCTGCCAAGCTGT